ACAATAGCCAGTAGATGCCTTTGCATAATGCCCAGACTTTTATACCAACTTTGTGGGGTTTTTTTTTGTGAAGTGGTTTCTGTTGAGTTCATTTTATTGTGTCAAGGACAACCTTTACCATACTTCCAGCCACACCCTCCACCATGCCCACATCCTCTACCATGATCTGAAGAAGTCCCTTGACATTTCCTTCGGCCTTGTTGCCCATCACCACATCTTCTAGACAAGGTCTCAGGTACTTCCTCTTCTGTATTGTTTTCGGCACTACTGCTTTTATGCCTTGAATTATTCTTAACAAACGTTCTAATCATTAGTTTTGTGGTTCAAAAGAACCTTATTTTTATCACTAAAACGCAGACAAAACCGGTTTGCAGGCTCTGAGTAGAGAGCTGGGCCGATTAGACCCCTATTGGGGCTGCAATTAACACATGTTCTACCCGTTGTTCTATACATGTATTGACAACAACAAGAATCCCTTTTATTTGGCGCCAAAAGATGCACTAACATTAAATAACATACATCAAAAAGATGTTAAAACACATACACTAAAGCGAGATTAGACAATAACATAACATCTTCCCACTAAAGGAATGTACAATGTAGAGAGGCAAATATTGTTCAGCGAAAGCAAATATTGTTCAGCGATATCTCACAGGTTTATTTACAACTTGTCAAGATCTTATAACAGTACTTAATCTGGGCAGGCCCTCAGTAGACTGAGATGCAGGCAATGAGATCCGGTTTCGGTTGTTGCATATTTGAGAGAGGCAGCTCAGTGTGGTCATCCTGGTCATACTGAATTTATCCTTGCAAGGTAATAGATGACGGTGATTCCATCTGACGATGTTTCCTTTGCTGTTAAGGATACAATACGAGCGAGACTCCTGGCATTTTGCGACTACCTTTCAAACCTCATGCAATCGCTTTTTCCTGTTAACGCGCATGTGGACAACAGTTCCTGGTTCTATGTCTGGCAGATCTGTGGCGTGTTGATGTAAGGCCTTTTTGACATTCGCTGGGGTGATTTTTGGTGGACTTGGAAGTGTTAGTTATATTCAAGGACGGTAGGGTGATGCGAGATTGGTGCTTAAAGAGGCAGATTGCTGGAGACACACCATCAGATGCTGGTATCGTATTTAGATAAAGAAGGTGAGGTGTGGATCTTGGTTCGCATCATGTGCCTCCTTGAGCAACTTTTTCACTGTTTGAATCGCTCTCTCAACAAACCCATTTGCCTGGGTGAAGTGGGGGCTTGAACTCCCACTCTTTTGCAAACTGTTTGAACGTTTGGGCAGTATATTCTGGTCCGTTATCTGTGTAAACTTCTTTAGGTATACCATGACGAGCGAATCTTATTTTGTTGATGACACTTTGGGAAGATTTGTTGGTGAGACATTGAATCTTTATGTATTTTGAGGTGTAGTCAGTGATGATAACATAGTTACGTCCGTACAGCGTGAACAAGTCTGATGCAACTTTTGTCCCAGGTACTTCAGGCACATTGTGTTGGATGAGGGTTTCTTTTTGTTGCTGGTTACGGTGTGTCAAACAATGCGGGCAACTAGAGACAAGATCATCGATCTCAGAATTCATGCCTGGCCAATATATGTACTGTTGAGCTAGACTTTTACATCTGGCAATTCCATTGTGACCTTGGTGAATGATTTCTTTCAGTGTGGGGCGTAGTGAGGCAGGGATAATAATGCGTTGGCCCTTAAGCAGTAGACCTTCTTGTGGGTAATCTCTTCTTGGACACTATAGTATGGTTTGACTGCTGGAGGAATTTTGTTGGGGTTGTTGTGGCCAACCAGTTAGAGTAGCCTGCTTGAGCTGTTAAAGAACTGGGTCAGCAGCGGTCTCATTTTGGACTTGGGTCAGTCTTGCTGTGCTGATTGGTAAGGAATTGATCACTGAGTGGACGTGGTGGATTAAGTCTGATTCTTCTATTTTCGGATTCGGCATTTGGATAATGGCTTCAATTTTGCTTTGGTTGGGCTTGACGCCTTCCAGAGACATTGTGTGGCCAAGGAATGTTAGGGATGTTTAGGCAAGTACACATTTGCATCAATTGAGTTTTAACCCACCGGCACGAATTTGTGTAAGTACGTTTCTGAGGCGAGAGTCGTGTTTCTCCTTTGTTGTCAATCTGAGTCAACAACAATAAAGAGAACATTTAGTGTCTGACCTTTGTTTTTCAGTCTACCAATAACATTAAATAACATGCATCGCAAGGATGTTAAAACACATACACTAAAAGGAGATTAGAGAATAACATAACACCCTTTTTATTTAATCATTTACCTCCAAAAAAGTGCAAGATTTTGCACATCATCTCACTGCCCATTATTGTACCTAAACAATGTTCACTTCCCAAAATTTTATGTACAATACACGATAGTTACTACATTATGACCAACAACCAACATGCTAACAAGCCAGTCATTATTTATTGAGGGAGTACATGGATACAATGGGGATTTAGTCACAAGAATTAAGGGCCTGGAAAAGGCGGAAATGGTCATAAGCTATTGTACTATTTCAATTTTGGGGGGGGGGGGGGGGTTTGGTTAGGATATATTTGCAAGATTAGAAACAAGAGCTTGTTTACTAATCAGTGTGACTTTGTACAGTGACTTTAATCCCCGTGTTGACTCTGCTATTGCTATTACACCCCCCCCCTCCATCAATAACTAATGATTGGTCCCAAACAAACTAGTGAGGGTTAATATACCTTTGGCTGACATCACATTCTTGCCTTTGGACAAATTGGAAAAGGATAAAACCACAAAGCCAGTTTTCCGGGACATCTTCGCTCCATTTCCACTGATTTTTATCTTTTCAGTGTAGCACATTTCATCACCATGTTTAACCATCTAAAAAGTTAACAAAAACAAAATTAAATTAATCTTTGGTGTATACTGAACCTAAAAAGCTTTTGTACTGCTATGGTTTTACAATTTTAATCTGTGAATGCCAGATTCTATACAATATTGTTCTTAAATTACTGTATACTATTGTATGAATTAGAGATTTTCTTATTATGTAATATCATAACACATGGAAAATTAGTGATTAAATTGCAAGGAAGGCTTAGCTTGAAGGTATGCCCAAGGAACTTTTAGAAACCTTTCCCTTGGACAAATGAACATGAGACAATCATGGTATTATATCAGTCATTTATGCATATTTAAAATATTAGAATTTTAATCACCTGTTTAAAAGCTGGCTGTTTGGTTCCTTCTCAAAGCTTAACTGTGCTCCAGGCCATGGTCCTGCAGTTCTTGTAATACTGTATAAAGTATTAACACTTTGTCGACACTGTTTTATAAGGTAACTCTTTGGTAAGCTATCTTTATCTAGCATAGTTAGCTCATGATATGCAGCACCACTGACACAACATGAATCCATTAAGTAAACAATATTCTTTATTTTTTCTTGTTCTTCTGGAATGATTTATGTATTAGGGATTATCTTGGCTGTTTCGCTGAAATCAAAGCTAATCATATCACTGTTTGCTGTATCGGTTAACAAAAGTGTGTATATTTTAAAGAAGAATGACTCTAAAAAACCAAAGTACCATTTCTGTATTTGTTTTAATTTGTCTAATTTTTCTTTGCTTTTGAGTATAACTCACTTGATGTAAAGCATCTCCTTAGTTAGAATAGGAGGAGTCACAGTTGCTACAACAATCTGTTTTTTCCAGATACTGAATATAAGTTACTAATTCAGAGGTATTGGTTTCCAAATCTTGAATTTTTTCTTCAAGATAACTTATTTTTTGTTTATTTTCTCTTTCCAACATAACTTCCTGTAACAAATCCTCTGGTCTTTCCTCCAGATAAAACCTTAAATATTATTTTATTTTTGTGATTGTAGTTGACAGCTAAAAGTTTTATAATGTGTAGTGATATTTGTCATATCAAAATTCAAATTACACTTTCAAAAACACTTTTTGATGTTAAAGCGAATATGTAATGAACTTTCACAGTTGTTTTAAGCTAAAATTTATACAAGTAAACCGTATCCTTTATACCACAAAGCAAATACAAAATAAACAAACAAGTACCTTTCAAAAACACTTATAAGCTTTCATTTTATGAATTATTTCTCTTACACAACTTCCTTTTGAACTGTATCCATGTTCTTCTTAGTTATCTGCCATGCTTGTTTCTTCTCGTTTTATTTTTTTATGAAACTCTCTTACAATTACAATTTACGAATGAGTTTACAAAATGGAAGTCAAATAGCTGACATTCTGATTAAAATACAAACTTTCTGTCTTAGCCAATCAGAACCTTGTTGATTACCATGCAGTGGTTACTTGCACATGCACATAAGTGACAAAAAGGTTGAACCTCGACCGTGCACCGTCCAAGACGTAGAATTTGGATTCTGTTATGTTCTCCCAGGTTCCAGGTGTAATTCCTAATTTCGGAGCGAAAAATAATGACCAGTGTGATGCTGGCAATGGTGATGAATACTTGCAAGTAATTTTTGAAGTAACATTTGAAGTCCTGCACAAAATACTCGTCCAACTTCTTGCACCAATTCTTTATTTTGTTCTCTAGTACCAGATCTGGTTTCACTGAACAAATGAGAATTCTTTCAGGATATCCATCTCGTTTCTGGTGTAACAAATTATAGAGATCTAGAATAAAGATCAATAATGTAGTTCAATTATGTATTAAGATTGCTGCATAAAATGTCAATTGTGTGTGTTTTCAGTTTTCATTTAATTAAGACTTCTTTCAGGTTTAAAGGACACAAACCACTATAAGCTGCATATACAGTACGTGCCAAAAAAATGAGTCCAGACCTAATTTTGCCAATATTTGGAAAAGAAAGGTTTCTTCTAAAAGATAAAGTCGCTGAGCCACTTGTATATGCGCAGAATGATTGGCAATTGTCTTCCACAATTGTTTGTGAAACATTTCACAATATATGATTTATCGAAAAGTTTATTAAAGTCCTCTAAGTTAATGTATAGCACATAAGGAGATATGCCTAAAGATTTAAGTGAGGGAGTCAGAGGCCAAATTATTGCTCTCACTAACGAAGGTTACTCACAACAACAAGTAGCAGCAAAGTTGGGAGCGTCAAAAGGTGGTGTGCAGCGAATCCTGGAAAGGTTCAAAAAGACACAGTCTTATTCAAGTTTATCAAAACCTGGCAGACCACGTATTACAACACGGGAAGATCAGTTTATAAAACTGACTTCTTTGCGCAATAGACGAGCAACTGCCAGTGTCATTCAATCATCAATTAATGCCACCCGAGAGAAACCAATTAGCAAAACAACAGTAAGAAGAACATTAAATGCAAGTGGTCTGAAAGGAAGAGTTGCAGCTTCTCAACCATTGCCACGTCCAATAAATAAGCGGAAGAGATAAAAATTACAGCATAGAAAACTGGAAAAAAGTACTTTTCATGGATAAATCAAAGTTTGAAATCCATGGGAATAATCGCCGTGTTTATGTGAGAAGAAGAAGTGGTGAAAGATTGTCATCTCAGTGTCTGAGGTCATCAGTGAAGCACGGAGGTGGAAACATCCAAGTCTGGGGCTGTTTCAGCTTTAACGGTGTTAGAGATCTTTATAGGATAAAAGGCAATCTTGAAAAAAAGCAATACCATTCTATTCTCCAAAGGCATGATTTGCCATCTGGCAAGAGGTTATGCGGGAGAGGTTTTACCTTGGTACAAGATATAGATCCCAAACACAGCTCTAACTTTTGCAAAAAATATTTAAAGAACAAAGAAATCCAAGGTGAATTGAAACTTATGGAATTTCCTCCTCAATCTCCTGATGTTAATCCAATCGAACATTTATGGGATGAATTAAAAAGAGAAAAAGTGATACATGAAGTTACAAGCCATGACAGGCTATGGGATGTACTTTCTGCATGCTGGAATAAGGTTAAACCATCAACACTTCAAAATCTTGTTAAATCCATGCCAAAAAGAGTTTAGGCTATTTTAAAAGCTAAGGAGGGACACACCAAGTACTGAAATTCATAATTTGTATAAGTAAAATTAAGCATTGTTGTGACATAGTTATAAATATAATTCAAAATTAAAGAAAAGCTTTTAATACCAAGTCGACTCATTTTTTTGGCACCTACTGTATGTTAGCCAAAGTGCAAAATAAATAGAAATTAATAGCATAAATATCCATAAAAAGCAAGAGTTTGGATAAAATAATCAAGATCAAGCTCTCTGTGAATTAGAAATAGCATCATGGAATAGTTATGTATGTTATGAGGTGATTGTGATATCTTATTGGAAGCTTGAGTTAGCTTTTAGCTAAAATACAGGGATCTAATAAATTTAGAAGAAAATTTCTCCCTGCAAGGTATGAGCAGGATTTTCCTCAGATTAGGCAGGGACACCTTATTTCGACATAGCTTCGGAGGCTAATGTGCAGCGAAATTGCGCAAATAACCGCTTCGAGAATTTCGTGCTCTTTGTATTGCTGTTTTATCCAGAATCAATTTTGTGTGTTAACCATACGATGCGAGTTTATCAGTTTATCCGAGATTTTTCAGCTACAGGTTTCATCATCTGAATTATCATTGGCTTTCCTTTCCTTTACTTGGGTATCTGTGCTTTTTTGCTTGCAATAATTTCAGCATCATACTGCTTAGTTTGGCTTGTTGCTTTAGTTTGAATTCATCAATCTGTTTTTGTAGTTTGCTAAGGGCAAGTCCTGACTCACTACATGTTTTAGGTTTTTATGGATCAATAGCTTTACTAAACTGCCCTTTCACTCTTCTCAGCTATTTGTTTCCCAACATCTTTTAAATATGTTTGGCCATTGCTATCTTACTTTTTCCCAATATATCATCACCATCTCTCTTCACAGAGACATGGCACTCTCTAAAGCCGGTTTTCCACTAGCGATATTTTTCGCGCGAAGAGACTTTATTCCTTTGTATTTGAGCAATTTGTTCCAGATGGTTGCAGTTGAGAGCTCTGAAACAAAAGTAAAATGTCGCTTCGCGCGAAAAATATCGCTGTTGGAAAAGCCGCTTAAAGCAGATCCATCTTTCATATAAAGAAGAGATTCTAACTTAATATGTAACATTTTAATTTGTTCCATCGTCATGAATCTAACAAGTTGAAGTTGGATTGTAATTCTGACTTTTTCAGTTGTGGAGCAAACCCTAAAGTATGAACCAGTACTGTTTGTTTATAATGTCACCCAGTTGCTGATTTATATCTGCTCCAAGGTCCTTCTCTGTACATACTTTACAACACCATATCTCTTCACCCTTTCACAGTGAGTTTAAATAGTAACATTTTTCACAATATTAAAACCTAGTGATACAAATTAATCATATTTTATATTAAAATTAAAGAAATGGAATTTCCCCGGATTGTTAGGTACTTTACCTGACGAGGAGATGTAGTTCTCCGAGCTCCTTCAAGAACTGATAGGAGCAATACTAGTGCAGATCGTGGCGTGAGCAGTCTGGGTACCATGAATATAAATGCCTGGTGGATCGGGATATCTGGGGCAATGTGGCGCTAAAGGCAACAAACAAATAAGATGGCGATCATTGACTTGTACCTTTGCTGGGCCGAAAATATGCCCAATGCATAAGGAGAATTGAAGGCGTAAAACTCCAATAAAAACACAATATATGGAACAAAAGGTAAGTACATTTAACTGCAAGTCTTCGGACATAATTATTGTTTTCAAAACGTATGAATAATTCAGTTATTTTGCAAAATTTCTCGAGCAAAGAGTTCATTGTGGTTGACTTGCACTAGTATTGTGAGCATCAGTCAAGAAGGAGAAATGCACCACGATATGTCACAACTTGTTGCCTTGAAATCATTCAAATTTAATACTAAATTAAATTCTAAATTAAATATCAAGATAAATTCAAACTATAATCGTTTATACTTGAATATTTCGAAGAAAATATATTTATATTGCAATTAAAAACAAGTAAACAACACAATACCTTGGTAAAAATATACGATGCTTGACCATGAGGCAAAAAGAGCATGCGTGAGTATGCAGAATCCAGGAGTTAAATAAAATGTTGGTCGTCCACACACTCGGGAAGAAACTAAATATCAAATTTCCAAGGGTGGGGAGACCAAAACCCATCAAATCCCCCATACATGCTAGAGCTCATCCCTCTGGGGCTTAACATTGAGAGGTGCATTACGCGAAGCAGCCACAAGAATGACAAAAGCATTTTGTGACAAATACGGGATAAAGATTGTGTTGCAATTGAAGTTAGGTACCATAGGATTTGCTGCACAAGTAACAGGGACTTTTTACATAGACAAGACGTCTGCAAAGCATGTTATCAACATTTTTGTAAAGAAGTAGTCTAGGAGCTCATTGCGAATAAACCAATAACATTTATGTCACAATTCTATGCAAAGTTTGTCAAGATCCTACAAAGAGTTGAAGGGCTAAATGACAGACACTTTAGGAAACGGCCGACTCATTCATGTTCACAACTTGTTTTTGTTACACCAAAGAGATGCAACATTAGTGAAATTGTCTTTGCAGAAAATTTGTGCCCATCTGATATTATGAATAGTGACCACGATTTATATCTGAGTAGTGAAAGTGATTACAGCAAGGATGATCATGATGACGACGAATTTGATGCAGACATGAGAGCAAGTGCACCTGTTGTAAATGAGACGCAAGTATTGTACCATGCTTCCATGATACTGAATGAGAAGATTGCTAGCACCTAGGAACTTAAGGTACTATGCCCTCCAGTTGCTGCAGACATCAATATAGACAATGCTCAGAAAGTTGTTATGCCAACTTTGTTTAATTTCATAAAGTGGAATTTCAGAATACAGTTTTAAAACAGTATCCTTCGCCTTTGGCAACTGTTAATGGCAATTTAGTGAAAACTGCTAATTGTAAACTAATGCATGAATTGTTACTCCGTGCAGACTGAATGAACCAGCCTCCTGAGAGTACCGTTGCGCTTCTGCTTGATGGAATGGCATTATTCCAGATGCTCAAGGATATTCTTGAGACATTTGGTGATCTAGCAGAAAAAGTTGTGAACATCATCAAAAGCAGCCCTAAAAATGCAGCTTTCAACTGATGTGTTGATTCCCAGGAAAATAAGCTTGACCTGAGTGATTGATTGCAAATTAAAAGCAATTACTACCTGATCCTTTCAGTTCACAAGCAGCAGATGTGTCTGGATGCCTTGAAGAAATATTCAACTTTTTGATATTCAAATCAAGAGAATACGACAGACACAAAATTGACTATTTCAAATTTAAGGACCGAAGTCTTGTTGAGGACGTCAAAGTCAAGAAAGTCTGAGGACACTTTGTTTTGATTGGGAAAGTAAAGCCAACTATGAAATCCATAACCAATGAGGGAAAGGAATTTTACAAAGTTTGTTTCAGCACTGATGGTGACCAAGAAGACACTTATTCATCAGCAAAATCAATGAAAACCAACTGCTGGGTCTGTTTTTTGTGCACACTGCCTTTGTCCTGGGTTCAAGATGGCACCTGTAAACATGTAGCTGCTTGTTTGTATTCTCTTCATGACTGCCTGTATCCCTCATCAGATCCTACGGACAGGCTTGGCACAAACGCATTAAAACCTTACTTGCTTTGTAAGAGTAGTACGGCTTCCTCTTCAAATTCCTAACCCCACGGTGAGGTAAATAAGGTTCTGCCATCTTTCCATCAACATAGAGTTTAGCAGCTTTTGCGACAACATCTTCTGCATTCAAAACATTGCTTGTAGCCCACTCCAAAATTGTCCTATCTTCCAGGGTCATATGGTGCTGATGGGCCTTCTGCATATCCATGTCACTGTAAAAACTTTGCACTATCACTTCTGATTAGTACTCAGTTGAGCCACTTCTGATTTAGCAGGTTCCAATTTCGTCAATGAGGTTTCAGAGTCTCTCTTTAATTGGGTTGTAATCCCATTCTTATCCTCTGGTTTAAGTTTTCACTTAATTTATTTCTTTATGCCATACTAGGTACCTCATGCATGCTTTCCAGTCATGGAACACCTTTGAATCCTCCTTTCATCAAAGTGTTCATCCTTCAGCTTTTTTATGTGCTTTATAACACACACTTCTTGGAAGAATTTGAACCCTTATTTAGCATGCTCTTCAAGTTTGCCTCCCTTTATCTGGAGTCTTTAATCACCAAGCTTCTCACCACATAACTGAATGAAGGTTTTTCGATATTGAAAAAATCTGCCATTCCAGCTGCATTTGTGGTGCATTTTTCAACACATAATGCTTAGCATTTCTGCAAGATCACTTGCAAAGGTGCTAGCATCACTAAAGAACCTTGGCGTGGTGTGTTCTGCCCAATTGACTTTTTTCCTTGGTGGATTTGCTCCGTTTTAATCCAAAATTGTTTCTGTGCC